CCCCTGTTATTAATAGATTACTACTTCTTAATCAACTTAAACCTTTATTAGCTCTCTGAGCTGTTATTACACCACAGCATCATGTAGATCAAACAAAATCTCTTAATTTGTGAAAATTTGATGTTTTGAAGTTTTCCGCTTGACAACAGTGTTATATATTTCTGGTCTGGTGAGACATATATTAACCCTGATTTTCATAAATATCAGAATTGAAATGGTTTCAATGATAGTTTTAGTTCCACTTCCAAAGAAGATCTTATCCTGACTTTTAGCAAACACAAAACCATATATTCTAATTTACTGACATTTTCAGTCTCTCAGCTTGATATTTCCTGAGTCAAGTTACTTACTTGGTTCAACAGTTAATCTGGTTCCACTTCCAAAGATAAGCTTGTATCCACTGCTAGATGTCACACAACATAACGACCCACAACACAAACTCACCACTGACTTTGACTCAGCTCAGGAAGATCATGAAAAATATCTCTTACAGAACTTATCGTCTTACGAGTTTACATAAATATTTTAGCTGGGTGCTGCTGATTTTTATCTTTTACAATTGTTGTTGCTGTTTTCATGTTACAAGCGTTGTGTGTAACAGAACAGTCGTTAGCCTTAAGAGTCCATTTCTAACACTGACACCAAATAACTGGAAATGTTTTGTTTTTTCAAAGAGCTCATTATATCTTATACGTTTGACTTGCTGACGTGAGTCCATAAAAGGAAACGTGTGATTTGCATTTTTGTGACATGAACTGTGTCAGATTATTCAATATTCAAATGCATTTGCAGATTTGTTGTTATAAAATCTCTCCATCAAATATATCACGTGTATATAGAATTTTAAAGTGAACTGAGCTTTTGTTTGTGTCCCAGTGATTACGTTGTTATTTTAATTATTTTATATTTACAGTTGTCATTTTAACACTGATTATAATCAATAACAGTACTCACTGGGTTCAATCAATAATCTGCTTCCTCGTCCAAATGTCATCTTAGTTCCACCAACATTCACACAGCATGAAGCTCAGTAACACAAACAGCTAAACCAAACAGGATTTTCATGTTTCGCAAACACGTTGATGTTTTCATTAAAATAACTGCAGTAAAAATCTGCAAGCTTAGATTTATGATGTACAGCTGATACTAAAATTAGTTATTTTTATATCACTAAATTCTTTTTTCAGGTCAAAGATAAGAGTCAAACAAACTGTATTTATTGTACTTTTGATGAAACTCAGATGAGACGTTAAAACTTTAACATGAACACTATGTTCAGTCAGAATAAGGTGTGATATAGTTTATGATTTATATGAAATGTTTCTTTTACTCACTGGATTCAACAGTCAGTGTGATTCCTCTCCCAAAGAAGATCTTATTCTGATTTGCACCAGTCACACAACAAGAAGCTCCATAACACAAACTGAGCAGAGCTAAAGATCCGAACTGAGACGTGAACTCTAAACATTCATATTCAGACGTGATTAAATCATCGAGATCCTCTCACATGTTTTTACATGTTGCTCTGTTCTTTGACCCCACATGGTTGCACTGGTGATGCTGGTCATGATTCACGTATAATTAGGTTTTAATCAATCAGTCCATCAGCATGCACTGTGTTTAAATATGATTCGATTTAAATATAAATACATAAATAAAATCATGTTCCACTACATGTAATTACTTACTGGTTTCAATGATTAATCTGGTCCCACTCCCAAACAAGATCCTATAAGCATTGCCAGTATTCACACAGCATGAAGCTTCATAACATAAACTCTGTGATCCGTATTTGCAGAATATAGAAATTTTAATTTTTCATATTAAGATGTGAGCTTTTTTAGATTTTGTATCATGGAGTGTGTGATTCACACTCCAAAATAATTGTATTTATAGTAGTAACCCAACATGAACTCCATCAAATAAATTAGCTGTGGATCTATTTTAGTGTCATTTAAAAAATAATAATTTCATATATTTATTTAGTTTTTTAATCCAAAGATTAATGCAAATTCATTGAGTAAAAGCTTTATAATATATATATGAGTGACTGTACTTTATCCTGCAAATATGATGACATTGTGTTTTCCACAACAGTGTTATGTTACTGGTTATATGGTTTTACTATTATTATTATTAATATGAAAACTTACTGGCTTCAGCGTTTAGCCGGGTTCCACTGCCAAAGAATATCTTATACTGATTTGCACCAGATGTCACACAGCATGAACCCTCATTACACAAAGTCCCAGTAAGGAACTGAACCAAACACATAGAAACCAGTAACATTTTACAGTTTCATGAAAGCAATTGTACTAAAGTGTTTCTACAGTAAAGCTAAATGTACTTAACTGATGTTAACAGTGGTTTGAATTTATTACAGATAAACTGCACTCAGTGCTGCTGTCAGAGGCATCTCTATAATAATATAAATAATAATTATAATCGATGTCAAAGCACTTACTGGGCTCAGCTGTTAATCTGATCCCTCTTCCAAAGATCAGCTTATTCTGGTTTGAATTAGTCACACAACATGACACACCAGCACACAAACCAGTAACTGACATGAGCCAACAACAGTTAAAACAATTTGAATGAAAAGACTCAACTAACTTTACTTGTTTGTCTTCTAACTCATCCTTCTTTAAACACACGGCTGACTTGTTTACTCAATTATTTCTAAAATGATTTTCAAACATTATATTTTTTTTAATCAATTCCACTCAAGTTACTTCAAATTGTAACTTTTAAAAGTGATTATTATAATACCGCAACTACACACAAACTTGGCTACTGTTTGTTTGTTTGTTTGTTTGTTTGTTTGTTTGTTTGTTTGTTTGTTTGTTTGTTTGTTTGTTTGTTTGTTTAAAGGTAAAAACAATTTCTAAGCATATTTCATGCTAAACCATTAAAACATATATCAGCACTTACTGGGTTCAGTGGTTAATCTGGTTCCACTTCCAAAAATGATCTTATAACCACCTCCAGTTTTCACACAACATGACGCTCCAGCACATAAACTGTGCTGTAACATCAGACGCCTTTAGAAATGCTTTTTCTCCTCTCAGAGTGAGGATATGTCAAAACTGTATTTATATTATATTATATTATGCATCTATATTTAGTAGAAATACTGTGTAAAGTCATAACATCCACTTTCATTTTGTATCTTATTTTTGTATTTCAAAGTAAATGTGCTTTGGGTAAGATTTCTTTTTAAATTGACAAATGTTCAAATTTCAGCACGTCAGCCACTGACACTGACATATCTGCTTCATCTTTAGGGAATTTCCTGCGTAACCTGCTTTTGTATTAAAAATATGATTCTAAATGTTTACTTTTTACTTACTTTGTTCAATATTTAGTCTGGTTCCTCTTCCAAAGGTAAGTTTCTGTAAGCCAGCATTCACACAGCATGACGCTCCCTCACACAAACTGAATCAAACTCCGTTCAGAGAATAAATTCGACTCTGATGAGCTTTTTGTACGAGTGTTTGGTTTTTCTGTCAAATTGGTGTAAAATTGTTCAGTTTAGTGCAAATTTAAACTTAAACATTAGTTTTACATTTTAATCACTTTTCAGTTTCTACGAAACAATTGGAGGTCAGAGAGTTAGCAGCTATCCTTTTGTTGCTTATTAGATTATTATTGGTTTACTTGCACTCATATACATGAACAATAAACTTACAGGTTTGGATGGTTAATCTGGTTCCACGTCCAAAGATGAGCTTGTTTGTATTTTGAGTCACACACAGTGAAACTCTGTTACACAAACTCAAAGCCGTTCACATGTGAGACTGGTGAAGAATATTCAGCTAATATAAGTTTGAAATAAGGTTTTATTTGTTTGTATTTTTATAGCAACCTTTCCTTAACAAACTGTATTTGCTTATTATTATTTATCAATAGCGGTACTTACTGGGTTCAATCAGTAATCTGGTTCCAGTTCCAAAAAGGAGTTTAAACTGATTCCCAGTAGACACACAATGTGATGCTACACAACAAAAACCCAGCAGTGGCCCTTCACTACTCAGAACAACTTTGTAACACAACAGTTAGCTCTCATTGTGTAATTGTCATTGTTCAAGATCTGCATCTTATTTACAATATGAAGGAAAACAACTTTGGTTTCATAAACTTCTTTAACTCACAAACAAAAGGTAAAATATTATTCTGCTGTCTGATGTTCTACTGAAGGGAACCGGATTTAAGTTTCAATCAAAGTAATCTTACATATTTTATGTGTCCATAGAAAAACCTGCAGTCAGTTTTTCCTACTATTGCTTGTATATTATAAATATAAACTTTACATTACTTACAAGATGTATTTGCATTGAGCTTTAACACTTTGAACATATTTATTATGCAGAAACACAAACTGACTTACTGTCATTAACATATAGTTTGGTGCCGCGTCCAAAGATAACCTTGTTTGCACTCCCGCTGTATGTCCCACAGTCTGCAGCCTCAGCACATTAACCTGACTGACTGCAGCAAACTGACAGTGTTTATGAAAAGCATTAATACTGTTTCATTTTATATTAAATCTTTTTGTTTAAATAATTACATTTATTTATACTAACAAGCAAATTCTTGGTGAAATATAGAGGGGTTCAAAAATAACCGAAAACATCAACTTTAAAGTTGCCCAAACAAAGTGGAAACATCAGTGTCATCATCACCTTTTTAAAGCTAAATCTTCAACAAGATCGAGTCAGGTTAAGCCGATAAAATCTGTCTCTTCTTTGCTCTCAAAGATTTCCAAAATAACAAACTTCTGGAGGGCAGTGCTGCTGTTTATATTATCTATCAATAAAAAGCATTAACGTTAATCAAAGTGTTTGCAGTAATAACAATGTTTCTGGGTGATCCTTTCATACACTTACTGGGTTCAATCATCAGGCTGGTGCCGCTTCCAAAGGTGATCTTATTTGTACCAGTGTTCACACAGCACGAAGCACTGAGACCAAAACTAAACCATTCACACAACCATGTTTTTACATTTGATACTTTACAGGAAAGTCCTGTCTGTAAATTGTAACTTTAAATTTCATTTAAGATGTTGATTTGACTTTTTTTTTTGCACTTTGAATGATTTTTATACTTTGATTGGATAATAAAATTTGTCTTTTTTCTTTTCATGCACTCAGTGTTTCACCACTAAACCAAAGAGTTGAACTTACTGTCATTAATGAATAATTGAGTGCCACTGCCAAAGATCACCCTGTAGTTCCCACCAGTGTTTGTCCCACAGTCTGCAGCCTCAGCACATTAACCTGACTGACTGCAGCACAGTGTTTATTCATTAATACTGATTTAGTTTTATATTGAATCCTTTTGTCTAAATAATTACATTTAATGAAACTAATAAACACATTCTTTGCTGAAATATGCAGTAGATGTAAGTTAGACGTGTTTGTACTGCACTGATGTGTCTTTGTTTAATGCACATTCAACATGCACAGATTCAGCTTATTTTAATGTTTTCAAATAAACTGGTTTCTCGTTTGGTTTAGTGGATGTCTTTAAAAGTTTCACTACATTTAAAGTGAGTTTGCACAGACATATGTATGTATGCAAGTATTGATATATTAAATGATGAATGTTAGATTTACTTACTGGGCTCAACATTTAATCTGGTTCCCTTTGCAAAGATGAACCTGCTTCCAGTATTCACACAGCATGAAGCAGCAGAGCCAAAACACAGTGATAAACTCATCCAAACTGCATTATGTGACCTTTGACCTGCTGTTTAGTTATTATACACCATTAAAATATTGATTTTAAAAACTTTTGAACATTTGTTTTATGATCCACATGTGAGTAATCATCAGTCAAGGTGCATTGATGATGTATATCACTTCATACTTCATGTACTTGGGTTTCCATCACTAAAAGAACTGAACTGAACTTACTGTCAGTAACGTAGAGTTTAGTCCCACGTCCAAAGATAATCTTGTTGCTACCACTGCTGTATGTCACACAGTATGAAGCTGCAGCGCATAAACCTGACGCACTCAGTGTTTCCAAAATAACCAAAAAATAACCAAAAACATCAACTTCAAAGTTGAAGTGGAAACATCAATGTCATCATGACCTTTTTAAAGCTACATTTTAACAAGTTTCACTTTCAGTTAATCAATAAAGCCGATAAAATCTGTCTCTACTTTGCTCTCAAAGATTTCCAAATGAACAAACTTCTGGAGGGCAGTGCTGCTGTTTACATTACAGTGACGTTATAAATGTGTATCTTTCAATAACAATGCATTAGTCCAAAGATTTGCAGTAATAACAATGTTTCTGTGTGATCCTTTCATGCACTTACTGGGTTCAATCATCAGGCTGGTGCCGCTTCCAAAGGTGATCTTATTTGTACCAGTGTTCACACAGCACGAAGCACTGGGACCAAAACCAGTGACAAACTGAACCAGGCTCCATTCACACAACCATGTTTTTACATTTGATACTTTAGATGAAAACGCTGCATTTAAGATGCTGATGTTAACTTGTTTTTGCACTTTGTAGGATTTTTAATGAATAATTAAAGTTGTTTTTTCACACACTCAGTGTTTCACCACTAAACCAAAGAATTGAACTTACTGTCATTAATGAATAATTGAGCGCCACTGCCAAAGATCACCTTGTAGTTCCCACTGCCGTATGTCCCACAGTCTGCAGCCTCAGCACATTAACCTGACTTACTTACAAATACAGCCTAAAATACCGTTAATCCCATTCAAATGGATACAGAGAGTCTGAATATAATGTGACTACAATGTTACTCTAATAGTTACTATATCACTCTGTTACTTTGGTTCTGCATCACTGAGGTGATTTACATTCTTTTTGTTTGTATTCCTCACTGAGATAATAAGTCTGGATATAAAACAAGGAGCAGCTGTGCGTGCACATCAAATATACAAGACAACCCAAGCATCATGTCTGCTTGTACATGTGTAAGTAAGATAAACTCGTTTCTGCACTGAACTTACTGTCGTTAATGAAAAGCTTAGTCCCACGTCCAAAGATGATCTTGGTTAAACCAGAGCCAGATGTCACACAGTGTCAAGCCTCAGTGCAAAAATCTACAACTACACAGACCGACTCAAACCTGCACCGTAACTCAAAAAAATAATAAAAGTTTCGAGATAAGTCTATTATTATCTACTTTATTGAGCTATCTCATAAAAAGCCAAAGTATGCACTAAGATTTTGTTTAAATGCAGTGAAAGGAACAGCATCTTAAAAATGTTTGAAGGTCATCTGTCTAATCACTAAAATCATACTGAAAAACTGCTGTGTGTCATTTTCTAAATATTTCACCTAAAGTTCCTTTAAAAAAAACTTCCATATAAATAATATTGTAAGTTGTATCAGAACTTACCAGGTTCAACGGTTAACCTGGTTCCTGCTGCAAACAACAGCTTTTGCCCAGAATTCACACATCATGAAACTCCAGAACACAAACCCAGCATCAACTGAGCCAAGCATTTAGGAAATATATAGATGTATGTATAAATATATTTAACATTAAAACACTGCAAATATGTTTCAACAGCTGTTTATTTTAATGTTATTGAGTGTGGCATAAGCTCCTTTTGTGTTTTCCTTTTTTTATTGCTGGTGTTTGTATTATTGGAAGATTAGATGTTTTGTTTCTTGTTTTCATTTATAAACTCCATAAATGGCTGTAAATGTTGTTTTTAACCTGAACTAACTTCACTTCAAATGACCGTTTACAATAATACATGTAACTACATTTTTCACTTACTGGGTTCAATGAGTAAACTGGTTCCTCTGCCAAAGATGATCTTAGCTGCACCTCCAGTATTCACACAGCATGAAGCACTGGGACCAAAACCAGTGACAAACTGAACCAGGCTCCATTCACACAGCCATGTTTTTCACCACTAAAACCAAAGAATTGAACTTACTGTCATTAATGAATAATTGAGTGCCACTGCCAAAGATGATCTTGGTTAAACCAGAGCCAGATGTCACACAGTGTCAAGCCTCAGTGCAAAAATCTACAACTACACAGACCGACTCAAACCTGCACTGTAACCCAATAACAACAACAATAACAACAACAATAACAACAATAATAATAATAATTTGGGAGATGAGCCATTCTCATCTGTTATTATCTACAATCCTTCTGTGCAGTGCTGCTTTTTAAATTACAGTGAAGTTGAAAGTTTGTATATTTTAATACAAAGCATCAAAGTTACATTTAAATATTAGCAGTAATCATAATATTTCTTTGGTGTTTTGCATTTTGTAGAATTCGTAATACTCTGAATGAATAAACAAAGTAGTTGTTTTTTCATGTACTGAGTTTTTCACCACTGAAAGAACAGAATTAAACTTACTGTCATTAATGAATAATTTAGTGCCGCTGCCAAAGATGATCTTGTTAAAATTAGCGCCAGATGTCACACAGTGTCGACCCTCACTGCAAAAATATAGAACTATCAACGTATTCAAACCTGCACCATAACTCCAGAAATAATATTATTTTGGAGATAAGTCTGTTATTTTCCACTTTATTGAGTATGTTGTTGCACATTAAGTTCATTTTGCACATTAAGCTCCTTTGTACATCCATCTACATCGACATCTGCATACCTCGCTTGTCTTACTTATTTTTGCACTCATTTATTTATCTTTAATTATTTTTATCCTTATTTATCTTGTTCCTTCAACCTAACTTGGCATTTATGTTTGGACAGCAAAGGGAGAATTTCATTGCACAGAGAAATACTATTTCCTCTGTACACATGACAATAAACACTTTGAATCTTTAATCTATTGTATAAACTCATTTTTATTTTTTATGTTTTCCTTTTTATTGCTATTATTATTAGAAGAAGATTAGATATTTTTTTTATTCATAAGCTTCACAAATGGCTGTAAATATATATATTTTTTTAACTGGAACTAACTTCACTTGAAGTGGTCCGGTGGAAGACCAGTTTAGCTGACCGTTTACAATAATACATGTAACTACATTTTTCACTTACTGGGTTCAATGAGTAAACTGGTTCCTCTGCCAAAGATGATCTTAGCTACACCTCCAGAATTCACACAGCATGAAGCACTGGGACCAAAACCAGTGACAAACTGAACAGACTCCACACAACCATGTTTTTACATTTGATACTTTACATGAAAATGCTGCATTTAAGATGCTGATGTTAAAATATTTTTGCACTTTGTAGGATTTTTAATGCTCTGAATAATTAATTAAAGTATTTTGTTCCATGTACGGAGTTTCTCACCACTGAAAGAACAGAATTAAACTTACTGTCATTAATGAATAATTTAGTGCCGCTGCCAAAGACGATCTTGTTAACAGCAGAGCCAGATGTCACACAGTGTCCAGCCTCAGTGCAAAAATATAGAACTATAGACGTACTCAAACCTGCAGCTTGACTCCAAATAACAATAATAATTTTGGAGATAAGCCATTCTCTGCAATTATTAACTACTTTATAAAAGTACTTTATTGTACTTTTATATCACAAAAAGGTTTGCAGTAAAATCTTTGCCTAAATGCACTGAAAGGAACAGCAACAACAGTTTAATCCGATCTGTCTTTAGTAATAAACGTCATACTGAAAAATCACTGTGTTGAAAACATTACATTTGTTTTGTTACAAGTTCCTTTAAAAACCTTGCATATAAATAATATTTTAAGTTGTATCAGAACTTACCAGGTTCAACGGTTAACCTGGTTCCTGCTGCAAACAACAGCTTTTGCCCAGAATACACACAACATGAAACTCCATAACACAAACTCAGAGACAGCAACTGGACCACGCTTGTGTGTTTACACTGGAGACTGTTGCAGAACATTAAGGTCAAATAAGCTTAATATTAATCATATTATTAATAAACAAAGACCAGCTGCTTTCTTTCATTTAACATTAACGACTGCCATAAATGTTTTATAATGACAAATCCTGAAAAACAATATTTTATCTTTATTATTTCATTATTGTTATTTTGTATGGAAAAATGTACTCAAAAACTAATTTACTTATTTATGTTTAAATTGGCGGCTGCACTTACTGGGTTCAATCAGTAATCTGGTTCCACTTCCAAAAATGAGCTTACGCTGGTTTCCAGTAGACACACAATGTGATGCTACACAACAAAAACCCAGCAGTGCCCGTCTGAACCCAGCCATTTAAGAAAACATCATTTTAACAACTGAGTCCGTCCACTTTAAAGTTCAGATGGTTCTATTCAATCAGCTATGTGGTAAAAATTAACTCCAGAATAACCAGTTACCTCCCAGTATATGACTGCCATGTTTTCAGATCTGCATCTTATTTTTATATCTGAAGATAAAACAATATTTACTTTGTTTTATAAACTTCTTTTGTCAGACAAACAAAAGAAAACACATTATTCATCTGACGTGACACTGAAGGCCAGCACTGACACTATGTCACAGTGATCTTAGATATTTTATGTATCCATAGAAACCTGTGTTTGGTCTTCACAGTATGATCAGTAATAACATTATTTCATGTGGACCAGTAAAACTTACTGGGTGCAACTGTTAATGTGGTTCCCTTTCCAAAGACGACCCTGTTTCCACCAGCATCCTCACAGCCTGAAGCACGTTAACAAACACTGAGTAATAAGCTACACCAAAGCCTTCTGGGAAAACCAAAAGGCTGCTGTTTATACATTAAAACTTTATACTTTCAATAACTACTTTGATTTGTTTGTATTGAGTTTTATTGATTGAATTTTAAAGCTTTTTTTATGAGGTCAGGATTTTACTTACTGTCACTGACATACAGTTTGGTGCCGCGTCCAAAGATGAGCTTATCTGTGTTGTAAGTCACACAGCATAAAGCTGCAGCACACAAACCCGACTGACTGCAGCAAACTGCAAACTCTCTGTTTTAAAAATGTTCACAGTAACATCAACAACAATGATCATCAATCTAAACAAAAATGGTTTCCACCACTGAAACAGCAGGATTTTACTTACTGTCACTGACATACAGTTTGGTGCCGCGTCCAAAGATGAGCTTGTTAGTGCTGCTGTATGTCACACAGCCTAAAGCTGCAGCACACAAACCGGACTGACTGCAGCAAACTGGAAGTGTCATTGTGACCTTTTAAGCGCTAAATCTTTTGTTTTAACAAAAACATTTCAGTTAATCAATAAAGCCGATAAAATCTGTCTCTACTTTGCTCTCAAAGATTTCCAAATGAACAAACTTCTGGAGGGCAGTGCTGCTGTTTACATTACAGTGACGTTATAAATGTGTATCTTTCAATAACAATGCATTAGTCCAAAGATTTGCAGTAATAACAATGTTTCTGCGTGATCCTTTCATGCACTTACTGGGTTCAATCATCAGGCTGGTGCCGCTTCCAAAGGTGATCTTATTTGTACCAGTGTTCACACAGCACGAAGCACTGAGACCAAAACCAGTGACAAACTGAACCAGGCTCCATTCACACAACCATGAAAATGCTGCATTTAAGATGCTGATGTTAACTTGTTTTTGCACTTTGTAGGATTTTTAATGAATAATTAAAGTATTTTGTTCCATTTACTGAATTATTCACGACTAAAACGAAATAACTGAACTTACTGTCATTAATGAAAAGCTTAGTGCCGCTGCCAAAGACGATCTTGTTAGCACCATATCCAGATGTCACACAGTGTCCAGCCTCAGTGCAAAAATCAGCAGCTATATAGACGTATTCAGACGTGCATCATAACTCCAAAAATAATACAAAGTTTGGAGATCGAACGCTAAGATTTGCACTATGATTTTGTTCAAATACATTGAAAGGAACAGCATGTTAAAAATGTTTGAAAGTCTTCTGTCTAATCACTAAAATCATACTGAAACACTAATATGTGTCAGAACTTATCAGGTTGTTTTTTTTTAGTTTTTTTTAGCTCAGTTTTTATATGTTCCTTTTTATTATTATTATTATTAGATAAGACTTTTTTTAGTTATAAACTTCATAAATGGCTGTAAATATTGTTTGAAACCTGAACTAACTTCCCTTCAGTGACCAGTTTAGCTGACAGTTTACACGTAGTTACATTTCTCTGATTTTCAGTCATATTTGTGTTCAGTATCAGCACTTACTGGCTTCAGTGAGTAATCTGGTTCCTCTGCCAAAGATGATCTTATTGAAACCTCCAGAATTCACACAGCATGAAGCTCCAGCACACAAACCCATGTTGTCACGCACAACCAGCTAACGCTGTCATTTTAACTGTAGCAGTTTTGTTTGAACGTTAACATGCTTCTTTACAGTCTCTGTGCTTTTGTTTTCCTCTGTTAAAAACATATAATAATATTACAAAATCACATCTACAGTCAGCGACTGGCCAGCGTCTAAAGACAATCGTGTTCACAACTACAGTTGTTTTTATAACTGAAAATCAGCTGATAGTTACATGATGACAGTTTATAGATCAAATGTAAATTGTAAAGAAATATTTTAGAGATGGACATTTTCATCTGTGTTCATTATGGTCTTGATTTATAAGGCTTTTATGACTATCTGATATATTTATGTAGTGTGTAAATTTTATTTTTGATTATTCTGAATCTACAGTTTAACGTACAGTAAAAGTGCAACACACACATGTCGGTTTGACAGTTTCACCTGTTTTTCCTTTAGCTTCATTGTTGTTGTCTAAAAATTAATATTCATGTTGTATAACAAGCACTTACTGGGTTGAATGATTAATTTGGTTCCTTTTCCAAAGATGATCTTGTTTCCACCTGCAGCATTCACACAGCATGAAGCTCCAGCACACAAACTGAGCAGGTGGTTGACTGGATCAAACTGACAACCTTACACATGATTGTTTAAGGTTGTGATTTGTCAAACACTGAATGTAATTCTGTTTGTTTGTTTTTCTCATTTGTTTCAAAAAAGCCAAATTATTTTGGTGCTAATCAGTTTTGTTACAATCACAATTTTTCAGACACATTTTTCTTTTAAATTGTTTATAGATGCAGAACACAAGTAAATAAATAAATAACTGATCTCTGTCAACACTCACGGGGTTCAATGATCAGCCTGCTTCCTCTACCAAAGATGATCTTTTGCGTATTCACACAACACGAAGCTCCTGAACATAAACTCAACCTGATCCACTGGATTCAAATCTGTTCACATCTTTAGGTGAAATCATCAGTGAAAAATATTTATTTATGTTTAAAGCTGACAGTTGTTGTAAGTTGAAGTGTCGTAATTATTATAATTATCACTTGTCAGTCTTTGAGTGTCGTTTTGAACCAAACATCTGGACACATGAATATTCAGCTCTCGGTTAATGAGCTTGTTTTCTTAAAAACAGATGTTTTACATGTATGATAAATGTAAGCTCTATTTTTACTTGGGTTATAAATGTGTTCAGTTCTATACTTTTACTGTTATTATTCAGAAACAGCACACGAACAGCATCTGGCTTTTGTCTCTCTTCTGCCTGTTAGTGACTCGGCTGTGAATCACTGGATAACATTCAGATATGTAAGATCACATGTTGTAATTCCAGAAACACACTTCTGTCCCTCGGGCATCAGTCACTAACCTGGCTCCACTTCCAGAAACAATCTTAGATCCACTTTGTTTACTTTGTACCAAACAGTTTTCACCAAACTACAAATGAATGTCAGAAACTCTTAACAGACACTCACTGCTGTTGACTATCAGTGTGGTTCCTTCCCCAAACACAATCTTCCATCCTCCACCAGAAGATGTAGTCACACAGTATTTATGACCTAACACTTAATCTGAGCCACATCACCTCCACAGTGTTCAGCTCTAAGAGCCTCAAATT